GTTAAGCACTCAGTTGCTAACCAAGAGGTTGGCAGTTTGAACCCACTAGCTGCTCCCGGGAGAAAGATATGGCAGTCTGCTTCTGTAAAAATTACAGCCTTGAAAACCCTATGGGGCAGGTCTACTCTGTCCTACAGGGTCACTATGAGTCAGAATCAAGTCAATGGCAACAGGTTTGGTCTTTTTGTTTTATATTCTGAGCAATGTAGTGGAGACAAAAATAGAAGATATGGTCCCTGTCCTCTAGGAGTACATGGTCTGATGGAAGAGGCTGGAAATACGTTGGCATATAATTCAAACAACATATAATTAGGTAGTTGGTGAGGTAATAGAAGGAGTTTCAGAGTTAGGTTTAAATCCTGATTATAACTTTCGAGCTGTGAAAGCTAGAGCAAGTTACTTAGTTTCTCTTGGCTTCAGTTTTCTCAACTATCAATTTGGGGAAAATAATAATTACCTACTATAGTCCTATTGCAAGAGTTAAATAGATATTAAATGAAATTACTTATGTAAACCATTCAGCATTATGTATGGCACAATGGAGTTATTTGGTAAAATGGCAGTTTCTTCTCTGGGTATCAAGAGAATTCTCATAACAGGACCTACTGTGAAAAAGGCGTGAAGTGATCAAAGAAGTCTTCCTGGAGGATTTGGATTAAATTGTTTGGGGTAAAAAATGCTTAGAAAAGAGCTAAGTGCATTTTAAGCAAGGAAATTACAGCTTGCCCTACAAGTAGTAGCAAGTAAGGTTTAATGAGAAGGATTGGACCAGATTATTGAGGGTCTTGAGAGCCACAACTATTTCTTCTATGACGCTGTTCTGCTCCTACTCTTACCACCAGCCCCTGTTAGAATTGACCTTTCTCTCCTTTGTGTCTCTATTACACACCATGTGTGCCTGTAACACTTTGCTGTATCTTTTCGTACACGTATCGGTTCTCTTGACTAGACTGTAACTCCCTTAAAGACAAGGGCCATGTCTTATTCATCTTCATAGGTCCAGTCAAATCAATCAAATGAGACAAATAAGTATTTAAGGAAGGAAGGTTGGAAAATAATGGTAACCAAGCATGTATTGAATGTTTCTGTATCCTTTTTAGTCAGGAAAGAAACAAACATAGATAAACCACAGAAAGTATTTGTATTTAATATAGGCAATTGATTAAACAGTTGTTGGAGGACTGAAAAAGCAAAGAAGGAAAACTGAGGTAGCACAGTAAGCAGCTACTAGCTCTAGGGTTGGGAATGAAGAGAAGAGTTTGGGGTGATAGCAATTCAGAAGCTCAGAAAAGTGGTCCTGCAGAGCTGAGCTCCGACCTCTCATGGGGGATAGTGCTATCCAGCTGGTACTTTTACCTCAGAAGCTCAGAGGACAGGTCCTATGGGACCAGGTTTTGTACTTCTGGGGACTGG